GAACAGTGCAGGATAAATAAGTAATCCATACATCAGTAAATTCATATTTTATATCTACAACATTACATGAAACAACATTTCTAACCAAATTTGGCTCAAACATCCGCTGGTCAGTGTGAGTGCACTAGGAAAGTGTCTGTGGACTGTCTGCGTATGAAAGGATAGTGTATGCCCGAAATGTTTTTAATCATGTTTCCTCATTCTGTAGTCTATGGGGTGAGAAGGCACTGGCATTTAGGTTTCTCCAGCCTTGGACGGTGGTTCCTGAACTCGTCATCCTTGCATAACCCAAATAAGATTAACCAACTCTCTGCATTGGGAAACATTGACCTAGACAACAAGACAGTATAAAAAATATCTGTAGTCTACAGATGTAGGATCTTAATTCAATCACTCTTTTGTTGCTGAGAATGTCTGTGCCGCAGGAAATGCAGATGAGCTTCGTGATTTACATAAATTCACTGAAAACCTGCACTAACACACCTTTATATTAACTGTATTCCACTTTTCACGTAGCCTCATTTTGTCCAGCTAATAGCTTAACCACCGATCAAGCGACATTATGGACTAAACGTTCAAATACCGTTGCTGCAGGATTCTTTTGCTGCAACAATAAAGGTCAAATTAAGATCCTACATCTGTATGTAGTGAGGTGGCCAGACTGTGAGGTGAGATAATTTATTTGGTCTGAGCAGAGGGGTTTCCATATCTTGTGAAGTCACAGTGATTCCGTAGCTTTTATAGTGTGATCTGTTGGTTCACACGCATCGTATAACGTCCCTCCGTTGCATAACTGTTCTAGCTCGGATCTGGGCGGCTGTAGTGTGTGACAGGTTTGCACTTTGCAGCTGCTATATCAGGAGACTGAGAGAGACATTCTTAGACGCTACTACTTAACTGTCTCTCAACCTACAGCTCGACTAATGATCGGTACGGAAGAAACACACTCAAAACACACAGGCCTATTACTGCACTGCTGAGGTTACCATTATCAAAGTTGTGAGTTAACAGTGTTGTCAACCCATTCCAGCCCAATAGACTCATTCCAATTTCATAATGCAACAACAACGCAATCTCTAATTTACAACGTGTATCCATTGCAAAAAGCTGGATGGTCAGCTTTAATCAGGGTGACAGTTAAGATTGCTGATGAGTCTTGGGGTGTGGGGGATTGGGCATAAGGAGGGTGGAAGAGGGGTGGGTGGCAGGAGCTGGGAAAGAGACTAATTTGGTCAGCCCCCTGTTGAAGGTGGACATGCAGCAGACAGCTGTGTAACAAGAGACAGAGTGTCAATTCAGGGCAAGGGCAGCGTGACCAGCCCACACTCCACCCCTCCATATCCCCTCACAGTGGTAGAGGAAGGAGGGGGTAGAGTAGTTGGGTTGGGGTTTAGTAGGTGAGGTTGCGATTGGGGTGAGGGAAGGCAGAGGGAATGAGGGCGTTATCAGGGGTCAAGAAAGAAAGAGTGAAGACATAGTGTGTGGGATTGAGTGTTGGGTTAGGGTTAGGAACAAGGTGGTGTGGTGGGTGACAGGTGTGATTGGGTAAGGCAAGTGTTGTGGTGGGACAAGCCAGGGATGCAAGCTGTTGCCGTTGCCAGATCACACCATAGACTGGCAGGGATGGCGGGATGCCCGTCTCCCCTGGGGCTATCTCAAGGCACTTCATCGCTCATGGGACTTTCTCTGCATCAGTGTTGGTCTCCTCTCACTTTGTCCAGGGGGGGTCAATGCAAATGGTCCGGGTAGCCATTTGATTAGCTGTTCAGGAGTCATGGCTTGGGGGTAGAAGCTGTTAAGAAGCCTTTTGGACCTAGACTTGCCGGTACCACTTGCCGTGCGATCGCAGAGAGAACAGTCTATGACTAGGGTGGCTGGAGTCTTTGGCAATTTTTAGGGCCATCCTCTGACTCGGCCTGGTATAGAGGTCCTGGATGGCAGGAAGCTTGGCCCCAGTCATGTACTGGGCCGTACGCACTACCCTCTGTAGTGCCTTGTGGTCGGAGGCCGAGCAGTTGCCATACCTGGTGGTGATGCAACCAGTCAGGATGCTCTCGATGGTCCAGGTGTATAACTTTTTGAGGATCTGAGGACCCATGCCAAATCTTTTCACTTGCCAGTTGGTCAACACATGCTCAGAGTACACGTCCTGGTAATCCGTCTGGCCCTGCGGCCTTGTGAATGTTGACCTGTTTAAAGGTCTTACCCACATTGGCTACGGAGATTGTGATCACACAGTCGTCCGGAACAGCTGGTGCTCTCATGCATGCTTCAGTGTTGCTTGCCTCGAAGCGCGCATAGAAGTCATTTAGCTCTTCTGGTAGGCTCGTGTCACTGGGCAGCTTGCGGCTGTGCTTCCCTTTGTAGTCCGTAATAGTTTGCAAGCCCTGCCACATCCGATGAGCATTTGAGCCGGTGTAGTAGGATTGAATCTTAGTCCTGTATTGACGCTTTGCCTGTTTGATGGTTCGTCGGAGGGCATAGCAGGATTTCATAGCAGAAGCGTCCGGGTTAGAGTCCCGCTCCTTGAAAGCGGCAGCTCTACCCTTTAGCTCAGTGTAGATGTTGCCTGTAATCCATGGCTTCTGGTTGGGGTATGTACGTACGGTCACTGTGGGGACGACGTCATTGATGAAGCCAGTGACTGATGTGGTGTACTCCTCAATGCCATCGGAAGAATCCCGGAACATATTCCAGTCTGTGCTAGCAAAACAGTCCTGTAGCTTAGCATCTGCGTCATCTGACCACTTCCGTATTGAGCGAGTCACTGGTACTTCCTGCTTTAGTTTTTGCTTGTAAGCAGGAATCAGGAGGATATAGTTATGGTCAGTTTTGCCAAATGGAGGGCGAGGGAGATCTTTGTACGCATCTCTGTGTGTGGAGTAAAGGGGGTCTAGAGTTTTTTCCCGCTCTGGTTGCACATGTAACATACTGGTAGAAATTAGGTAAAACAGATTTTGAATAATTGTTCTGAATAAAAAACACTTGAATGCCATTATGTCATATTTATGACCTCAATAACTAGGAAATACAACATACAGAGGAGCATTTGAGAGAAGCACAACATCATAATAATGAATTAATTTGAATTAGGGAAGGGGTCTGTAGTGTCCATTATGGGTGCAAAGTAATGTGATTGACTTTTGGGGGTCATTTGATAATATTACAATTATAGTGGCAGATGCATGGATTAATTTGCACGAGACAGGAATGGGAGATGGTTTGGGTGAATCAAACCACCAAGGGGCTCTACAACATCTCAGGCATGAGTGTAATACTGGTGCCTGACTGAACATTTTCAATTGGCGCTGATGAAGATTTGATTCAAAGGGCATTAGAGTGGCTTGGAAACATGATGCCATTTGAAAAGGAGACAAATAATTAGCAGGAAAACCTTTTGTCATCATTGTGATGTCGCCAGGAAAACTTGATGCAGTATAACTTTAGCTAGCTAGCTAAGATTGAGGGGACAGCACCAGACAGTACCACCAAAAAGTTATCCTTCCCACCATCTAATCTTTCTTTGACAGCCCCTCTAATCATACAGTGGCCATAAAGAAACCCAGAACAAGACTGGGTCAGAGTAGACTGTGTCTGAAGTTGTGGGCCTGCCCTCACCCGCCAACAGACACATATCCCCGCCACATGATGGGCTTCCAACGCTGCTAAAATGTCCTTCTTGCAAATACTCTGTCTGGATAAAAACATAATGATGCGCAAACTAGATCTGCTGTTCAATCAATCAATCAAATGCATTTTATAAAGCCCTTTTTACATCAGCAGTTGTCACAAAGTGCTTTACAGATAACCAGCCTAAAACCCCAAAGAGCAAGCAATGCAGATGCAGAAGCACAGTGCATAGGAAAAACTCCCTAGATGGCAGGAACCTAGGAAGAAAGAAACCTAGAGAGGAACCAAGCTCCGAAGAGTGGCCAGTCCTCTTCTGGCTGTACCGGGTTGAGATTTAAGAGTACATGTGGTCATTAATGCCAGATCATTGATCTAATGTGGCCTGCATTGATCTAAGGTGACATTGAATATAACATTAATATAATTCACTTGACATGTAAATAACATGCATTACACATGCATTACTAATTAATGTGTAATATACAAAACACATTAAAAGACAAACCTACTATAGGCTAAACTGAGTAGCGTTCATGGGGTATAGGAATCCATGTGATAAGGCAAAAGAATTCCAGCTTTTCCCAACCTTTGCTACTGACATAAGGACCCCTGCTATCCATGGCATGTTTGTCAAAAGCATTGCTCAGCTTTTTTGGAGCGTGCTACTTACTACTCCCACCCTATCGCACAACCCCTCCCACCATCCTGATGACCCAGTGGAGAGTCGACTCCAAAATACTTGATTCCTCGACTCCTTGACCATCGAGCGGGTCTACTCCCATTTTATTTAAAAAAAGAATTGATTGCTGCTAATATTGATTATTTTAGGATAATGTAAGTAACACATATCTGCAATACAATAGCATGTTCTTCGACTAAAGAGCAGCTTCAAGCTATCTGTTTATTGAGTTTTAAATTCATTAAGGTATAGGCAGCTAGGCTGATGTACTGATTAGCCTTGATTATTTTGGTTAGTAGATTGTCAGACAGCTCCGTTTGTATCACTAGTCAATCACATAGTTCATGAGTGTGCATACACACACTCAATTATAGCTAATTGTAGCTCATTTTGGCCAGTTTTGTTAACTTGGAGTCTAAAGAGAGTCAATTCCATAGACTCTGCTAGCAAGAGTCAGGAATCGACTGCAAAAATCCTGGATGGACTCCACAAAAACACTAGATCCCCCACCACAGGCTCTATTGCAGGGGGACAGGGAGGGGAGAGCATGGAGGGGTTGAGAGGGTGAGGGTGCAGCTGCAGCCCCGCCTTGGATGACAGATGTAAATCCAGTCCTTTCGTAAACTAAACTGGGTATCAGAGACAGGCTTGGGCCAATGAGAGACTGGCATGCAATAAAATGGGCAGCCAATGGCTGCGTGTCTGCCCGGTATATAAGAACAGGGCAAGGATCTTCAGAGTTGGGTGACCTCTATATTTTGGCTCTGGTGAACAGGATCTGATCCCAAGGACTGTTACTTCTTTTTCTTGTCTGGTGTGCAGGTAAAAACGCAACGCTGTGCTTTGTATGAATAGCTAAGGCTTTGGGATGAGGGCAGTGTGGCGGTTTGGATTAGTTGGACTCGGAAAGGCTTCTGAGCTTACAGTTTTTGGGGAGAAAAGGTTTGAAAAATGTAATTGTGCACATTTGTTAGCTGAGTTCTGTTATTTTGTCTTGTCCCTATTTGAAAGGGGGAGGTGCTTTACAAGCTCCTCAGTTGTTTTTTTTAAACCTTTCCTACACACTTTTCTTTCGTTTTTTAGTTTTAATCATATTGTTTTGTATTTTTCTTCTGTGCAAATAAATAATACAAATAACAATATACTTAAATGAGGCATATACTTAATGATGCAAAAATAAGTAATGGGTCAGCAAATGTATATATGGGGGCATTCTGGAAGGGTTTCAGATCAGTGGGATAATGAACAGCATATCTTAGTAGGAGTCTGATTCTCTTGGCTCATTTGATAAAAACAAAAAAATTATCTGGAAATGAAGATGTGAATTGTGAAGTTGTGAACTGTTGCAAACTTTTATAAGCTTTGTGTCGGCAAATGGTTCTCTGGTGTGGATACTGAGATAGATAAGTAAGTGTATCACAATCAGATACAGTATAAGGGCTATACACAGCTGTGGAACAGGTGTAAAAAGATTGCTGGTCTTGAATGTCCAGAAGTTGCTTTTCGGACAGTTACTGTAACAGTCACACCCTTTTCATTGCTTTTGGACATGGGCATGTGATGCAACAAGTGTGTCAATAGTTCCGTCCAGATCATGTGCTCATTCTTTTCAATCAATATTTCAAGAAAGGTTGAGGTAAATTCCATCCCAACCAAATGCATTTAAGGAACATAAAGGAAATACAATTTATGAATTGGAGAATGGCCTATCAAGTATAGTGAATACAATTCAATTAATGAGTTGACCTTTAAAATCAATTTACCCTGGTGTTAAAAAACAAATACACAGCAATGTTGTTTCACAAGACTTCATGTGTGACGCGCATCAAGGTAGCTAAATGTTTCAAGATATTGTGATGGAAAAGCAAGAGGGGCTGGAAAGGGTAATGACATGAAGGGGGGGCTCTTTGCATGAGTGGAGAGGAGGGGTTGGAAATATGTTGCATAGGTAAGGGGGCAAAGGGAATATAGGATAGGGGTGGAATGTTGAAGAGGATGTGAGGTTTGGGTTGAGGGTGTTAAAAATACCCAACACACAAGTGCTCCTCCCCCTTATCTATTCCGAACAGAAACATGACCCAGTGGACGGGGACGTTGACTGACGTTTGTAACTAGGATACGGGGTATCCACACCACTAGGAGTTTTTGCAGCTGTTCTATCGAGTATCCCACAGTAATCTTTTAAAACGTTGGGCTAAGGAAGTTTCTCTGGCCCTGAGACAGAGCACTCCTTGTAGACTCTACTCAGCTGTCAGTGTCAGGGAACTTCCTATCAGATCGGTTACTATTAGGATTTGTGGATTGTTTTCTGTGCAAATAGACAATAAAGATCTGAAGATTTCTTATTTTCTTTCACCCCTACAGTGTTAGAAACGCAATCATGCCTTTCGGTAACACCCACAACAACTTCAAACTCAACTTCAAAGTTGAGGAGGAGTACCCTGACCTCACCAAGCACAACAACCACATGGCCAAGGTGCTGACCAAGGACATGTACGCCAAACTGAGGGACAAACAGACCTCCTCCGGCTTCACCGTGGATGACGTCATCCAGACCGGTGTCGACAACCCTGGTGAGTGCCACATATCTCCCAAACCCCCTGAGGATATCACCACAAACACACAACTGTCAAAGGTAGAGCTGAGAAGTTATGATCCCTAAAGTAGTCTGCACAACCATAGTAGCCTGCTGAGTTGAAGCTTAGGCATCAATCAATCATAATGCAATTGCTTAAGAGATACTAATACCACAACATATAATATTAACTAGATGAAGTGGCGTGTGGGTACTAGGGTGATGATGTAGCCTATAACCAAGACTGCACTCTAGTCATTGAGTGGGATGGACACAGGAACCCAGTTGAGGAGTTCCAATAATGCAACGCTGTAATACATGTGGAATTGGGGCTTATATGGAGGGTTATATGCGCAAGCTTCAATGTTCGTGGGCTTTTAGTTTCTTACAATATATAATACTGTATGTGCAGCGTACATTTCACATATCACACTCACACACTTTGAATTCTTGCGTATTTTTCATACAACAGTGGTTTATTAATGTCAGTTAGCCTACTATGTAGATGTGCTGCCTTTTTACCCTCCTCCCCCTCCTCAGGTCACCCCTTCATCATGACCGTTGGCTGCGTGGCTGGTGATGAGGAGTCCTACGAGGTCTTCAAGGATCTGTTGGACCCCATCATCTCAGACCGTCATAGTGGATACAAGCCCACAGACAAGCACAAGACCGACCTGAACTTCGAGAACCTGAAGGTAGAGGCTCATTCTTCTGACATGTTTTATGGCTTTCATTTGCTATATGAAATGCCAAAGAGTACTGCTGAGCAAAAGTAGTGTGGAAAATGTTTGAATAATCTCTACATAGGAGGTTGGGAATCACAAACTTCTTTGAGACACTTTAAATGTTCAGGTCTAAAACTCTGTTGTGACCTTCTCTCTGTGTAGGGAGGGGATGACCTGGACCCCAGCTACGTCCTGTCCAGCCGTGTGCGTACCGGCCGCAGCATCAAGGGATATACCCTGCCCCCCCACAACAGCCGTGGCGAGCGCAGAGCAGTGGAGAGACTGTCCGTCGAGGGTGAGCCTCCCAGCTATCGATAGCTACAGTACATTCACAGGATTATGCATGAAGCTAGGCAGTAAAACGAACAAAAGGGAAATGGAGATCCGAATTCTTAGCCACCCCTCAAATTAATTGGAAATAGAGATCAAGAGTGAATCCTTAGCTAAAATGACTAGTGCATGGTGTCGGATAACTCCATGCAGGGAGATACCATGTTAAGAGTGAGGGGAAACTGAGGGGTTTTCTGTCTCTCCAGCTCTGAACACCCTGGATGGTGAATTCAAGGGAAAGTACTACCCCCTGAATAAGATGAGCGATGCCGAGCAGGAGCAGCTTATCGCTGACCACTTCTTGTTTGACAAGCCCGTCTCCCCCCTGCTGCTGGGCGCTGGTATGGCCCGTGACTGGCCCGATGCAAGAGGAATCTGGTATGTCCCCAGAACACAGACCCATACCAATAGTCAACCAAAACAATACTGTATTGTACTGTACAGAATATCCCACCACGTATCATAGTGATGTGTCATGTGAAACCTCATCCCTCCTTTCTGAAGGCACAACGATGCCAAGAGCTTCTTGGTCTGGGTGAACGAGGAGGATCACCTGCGTGTCATCTCCATGGAGAAGGGTGGCAACATGAAGGAGGTCTTCAGACGCTTCTGCGTTGGTCTGAAAAGGGTATGTACTGGTACTGAAACTATTTTGCAACTAGCTCTCACAGTCTCACGTCTGAATTAGACGTTCAACCATGTATCTCAAACGTCAAATTTCGAAGTTGTTGCAAACATCAAATTTAGAAATGTTTAAGGTTAAGTTTAGGCATTAACTCAGAATGTTTAAGGTTAGGGTTAAGTTTAGGCATTAACTCTGAAATCTTAAGGTTAGGCATTAACTCTGAATGGTTAAGGTAAGGGTTAAGGTTAGGGATTGGCATAAAACAAAATCTCAAAAATAACTTATGCCCATCCACTAGCCCCGTCCACAACACCCTAGCAAAACCGACACCTACTTGAGGGTAACAGTGCTCACTGTTGCCCCTAGTGGCCGGTTTCCACGTCATCTCCCGACGTCCTCAGACATGGATGGACGTCGAATACTGACTTGTTTCACGGGTAACTTGGCTGCCATTTTGACAATGCAGAAAAACACCCCTAACACAATGAAAAGACATGAAAACGCAGAGAGACAATTACAAGAATGTTGATACAGGGTTGTTTCTTTCACCTGACAGATTGAGGAGACTTTCAAGAAGCACAACCACGGCTTCATGTGGAACGAGCATCTTGGCTACGTACTGACCTGCCCCTCCAACCTGGGAACTGGTCTGCGTGGTGGCGTGCACGTCAAGCTGCCCAAGCTGAGTACACACGCCAAGTTTGAGGAGATCTTGACCAGGCTGCGTCTGCAGAAGCGTGGCACAGGTATCAACACGCACAACAACAAATATCTAGAACAGCTGCTGATATATTCAACTCTGATTCGTCACAGATCACGACAGTCTTCCCTTTAACAACAAAACATGTAAAAAGGAACAGAGATTAAGATGACCGAAAGCTATTCTGAAATAGCCATATCCACAGCGGTTAGGACATCTATTCATTTAGTCTGTTATTTTTGGTGATATTTAGATGATTTACGGTATGAGTAATGGTGCAGAGATTGTCTGAGACATTCACTTACACCCGCTTCTCTCTCCCTTTTCCCTGCTCTCTACAGGTGGCGTGGACACCGCCTCCGTGGGTGGAGTGTTCGACATCTCCAACGCTGACCGTCTGGGATCCTCTGAGGTAGATCAGGTCCAGATGGTGGTGGATGGTGTCAAGCTCATGGTGGAGATGGAGAAGAAGCTGGAGAAGGGAGAGGCCATCGACAGCATGATCCCCGCCCAGAAGTAAAGAGTTGTTGACGTTGCTGGTCGTCTTCTGTTTTTCTATTGTCAAGTAATGTACCATTGAGCCAACCAACCGGCGTGGAGAGGAAACTGATGCTCGCTCTAGAGACTCTTGACTGCTCACCTATTTTTCTTCTTTCCTTCAGCCTTTCTTTCTCTCCTTTGTTTTTTCCTTTCCTTTTCTTCCTTGCGCCTTTTTCCACTTCTCTCCTGTTCAGTTTGTAACATCCTGGATCAGCTTCCACTGAAGTCAGCTTGCCTGACAGATGTGGCATCACTTAAACTTGAAATTTGGTTCTAGAAAAATGATCATTGAAACTGTGATTAAAAAAACCTGGCCTCATGAACTAAAACAGATTGGTCTTTCATGTTCATGCACTCATGATAAGTCACTGCAAATCTAATACTGTTCAATTTAACAATCAAAAAGTGTCTATATGGTTCCACACTACACAGAGTTAATAGTACACGTTCAAAAGTGTAAATTTCACAGATATTCTGTAACTCAGTAAATAGTTGCAAATTAAGATAACTGGCCATCACTGGTTTGTTGGAATTACTCTACTTTGGTGTAAAATGTAAAAAAATATATAATCCATCAGAGACATTTCTTAAAGACATGCTCCCGAACTTTGGCGACTACTAAGTATTTTTTAAACCTCCCACTTTGGTCTGGATGTGTCAGTGTAGTTCATACATGCATAATATATGAGCTGAATTACTGTTTTACCTCAATTAGCCACAAAATCCCTAGTTTGAAAGGAACAGTTTTTCTGGATGCTGTGCTGCGCCATTTTTCCTACATTTACCCCCTAGAAATTTGAGTTCAACCAATGAGCTTCATATCTGTACCTGAGGCAGAGGTCGGTAATCCAGAACAGTGTCACAAGGTACAGAATGGCAAGCAGTCTCAGGGTCAGGGCAGGCAGAATTGTCAAAACTGGGGAAACTGAAAAACAGGGACTAGAGCAAAACAGGAGTACGGGAAAAACGCGGGTAAGCTTGACGAGACAAGACGAACTGGCAACAGACAAACAGAAAACACTGGTATAAATACACAGGGGATAATGAGGACAAATGGGAGACACCTGGTGGGGGTGGAGACAAGTACAAGACAGGTGAAACCGGTCTGGGTGTGACACTTCAGTACCTCGCAATTTGAGTGACAGCTAGCAAGATGCACATGATGCAGCCACAGCAGAGCGAGAAAGAGCAATGACGTGGTGCACATATCTGCACATACAGTAGGGTCCAAAATTATTTACACCCTTGATAAAGATTAGCAATAATGACTGTATAAAATAAATAATTCAAATACTGAGCTATATTGTATGCTCCAAATAATTGGGGAAATTATGTTATTTTATACTAATACAGTTACGAGAGTACGAGATATTGTTTAACAAGTAATAAAGAAAAATCTCAAAAAGGTAGGGGTCAAAATTATTGTTACCCCTAAAGATTCTTATAGATAATGTAGTCAAAAGTATAGTATTTGCTCCTATATTCCTAGCACGCAATGACTACATCAAGCTTCTGACCCTAAATACTTGTTGGATGCATTTGCAGTTAGTTTTGGTTGTGTTTCAGATTATTTTGTGCCCAATAGAAAAGAATGATAAATAATGTATTCTCTCATTTTGGAGTCACTTTTATTGTAAATAAGAATAGAATATGTTTCTAAACACTTCTACATTAATGTGGATGTTACCATGATTACGGATAATCCTGAATTAATTGTGAATAATGATGAGTGAGAAAGTTACAGAGGGTCAAAGATCCAACCCCCAAGACATGCTAACCTCCCCTGTATGTGACGTAGTACGCAATTTTCGGGGACCGCTTTTGTCTCGTGAGTGCTACTTTCAGAACTACTGGCTATAAAATATTCGAAAGTACTGGAGACTCCCTTTAACTCTAAGGGCTCTATTTTAACAAACCTAATGCAATGGTAAATCTTATTGCTGGTGGTATATGTCAGGAGGTGTGTCAGAAATATATTAGCTATTTTCACAGCAGGAATTATGAGCACAATAGCTGGTGGTGGTGCAAAACGGCTGGATTTTGATTAATAAATAAATGGTATGTTTGATGAGGGCTTGGCCACTCACTTAATACTGCAAGTTCTGTAGGTTATTGACATTTGTCTCAAGTTCTGTAGGTTATTGAAGTTAGTCTCAAGTTCTGTAGGTTATTGACACTTGTCTCAAGTTCTGTAGGTTATTGACGGTCTTTACGTTGTCATTACTCCACAGGCTACAGTAATGAGTAATAGCAACAGTAAAAAAAAAACATCCAGTGTTTGCTCAATATGTTTGGAGTGTTGGCAGTCAACATTGTTGTAGGAGTAATTGGCTTCAAGGAGTATAGGCCTACATGTCTTTACGCATCGCACTTCTCCTAAAATAAAAAATACTTTGCTCCTGTACATTTTATTGTATGTGTGAGGCACGTTCTCAATAAGCAAGATATAGCCTACACAGTAAATTTTGAAGTGTTAAAGTAACACTTAAAGAGTTAAATTTAACACTATTTCTGAGTGTATATGGTCCCACCCTGAAATAGTGTTAATTTGACTCTTTTCATAGTGTTAACATTTTAGAGTTAAATTAACTCTAAATAGAGTAAAAATGTAACACTCGCTTACACTGAATAGTGTTATTTTAATTTTACACTAAAGGTTAAATAACACTGGAGAGTGTAAATATTACCCTTGGAAGAGTTAATCATTTACTCTTCTAAAATAACAAATCAACTCTGATTGAGTTTGATTCCAGTCCAGTTTAACACTGCATGGAGTTGACACTCAATGTTAAAATAACTCTGATAAGTGTTGATGTTACACACTATTGTGTTGATAATTGACTATCTTGCAGTGAAAAACAAGCTCAAATAGAGTCAAATTCTAACACCGTATAGTGTCACGGAAATAAATCTCAGCAGTATTCATTTTACACTTTTTTAGTGTCAAATTACACCAAATACTCCATTAAGTGAGTAAAAATCACAACTTACCACAAAATAATGCATTTCAAATTTTTATTAACAGCTCAACTATGTCAGGCTAAAATATATTAAGAATACAAATCCCTTTTTAAAACATTGACCTTAGGTTTCCATAAAATGGCAATAGGGAACAACATACAAGGAGGAATCTGTCGTTCCATACTTCATTTGAACATCAAAAGGTTTAAAGTAACACAGTTCAGTAATGTTGATCACCTTTTGAACCCTGTCTGGATGCATCCTGACCTTAAAGGCATAGTAATGGTAATCAAAACACACTGTTTCCATCAGTTTTCCACAGAGCAATACACAGTCATCTTTCACAGCAATAATTTTGATTTTACAAAATACAGGCATCTCAAATGCTACCTCAGTACAGATAATGAAGTCACGGCGGTACTCTGTACCATGATGTTTGATCCACTTGGCAGAAAACACACTGGTAGACAATACAGACCCAAATTTTAAAGCAATCTCGGGACCTTCTTTGAGCTCACTAAGTGTTACCATCTTCCCCGAACCTAAAGTTAATCTTTCCTTGCTAAAGGACTCTCGATACATTGCCATACAACTTTGGTGCTTTTTGGCTAATGTTTTTGTTACATTTTTAAAGCTTTTTAATTGCTTCTTAAAAAAATTATGTTTAGCTTCATAACGCATGCACCACATGTGCAGAACTGGGCCGATGTTTTTTATATTACGAGGGTAATGAATCATGAAGTGATGCTTTGGTAAGAGATTGATTGCAGGAAACAACTGCTTGAAGAGCTGATGATGATCAATGATTAAATGTTTGAGGTAAATGGTCATGCCTTCTGTAAGGACTGGGGAAAATACAATGTTAACAATGTGTAGAAGCAAAAGTAGAAGATGCCAGTGCTGGTCATCTGACTGTATTAAATCACCAAATAGCAAAGGCATATTACGTAATAAGCACCAAGACTGTATAGCATTCAACCCCAAATCATTACTTCCATCAAACAACTTTACTCTAGGTGGACGGTTTCGCTGCTGATTGTATCCATAGTCAAAAGCATGTATTCTACCAGCCAGTTGTTCAGCATTTAGGAAGTTTTCCTTAATGTACTGCAGGACAAGTTTGACTTCAAACTGAGCAACTCCTTCTAAAATATCGTGCATTATATCTACAGAAAAATTGTTGGCTGTATTAAAATACTGTAGTGAATTCAGCAGACAAATGCGTTTGACACCATAGATATGAGGTAGTGTAGGATCTGTTTGTAAAGTTTGACAGTGCAGTTTGTGCATCTCGATAGTTCGTAGTACAACTTTTGGATCATCTTCACAGAACACAGTTTGAAAACAATCTTTCTCAAGGAGACAGAAACGACAACAATACCTTGCCCCAAATGACTCCACAAAGCCAAATAAACCATGCAACCCAAGATTATCACCAGTGACCTGAACTATGGTACCGTGAATCACATCTTTCAATCTGGGAACTTTAAGTCCCTCTGTCTCGAGTACTTTAAGATCACTGACAAGTGGCTCAAGTATCAAATTAAAACCATAACGCTTGATGTCCTGCGCATGGAAAAGAGCACCCAAATGAATATTTATCAATGATGAATTAAAGATTGGGGGAAAATTCCTTAATGTAAAGTATATAGCACCTAATTTGTGTATATCCTTTTTAGACCCCAAGGGGTTTGCTGTTTCAAAGTCGTCATAAAATAGCTGGATCTGTATGGCATCTTTTTCTATAGAGAATAAGGGACTTTTTTTAAAATAGGCGGCATCTCTCAAGTCTGCATACACACCTTCCTTGGGCATGTGCCTGGGCTTGAACATGTCTGCAAGTTCTGGGTTTTGAAAAATGGCCTTTAGTGTTTCTAAAATAGGAATATATGCAAACTTGTCAGTTACAACGACCTGATCGTATGTCCCAGTTGTTTTGTTTCTTCTGCTGTCAAATCTTGTGCCAAGCACCTTTTCAACAGGTTCTACGATTCCCCATTTCTCTTTGAAGTGTTTATTTCGTTTAGCTTCTGAATTTAAGGGTGTGAAAGGGTTTTCCAACTTTTGCAAAGATTGTTCTATTCTGTTCTTATTTTCAGTTTCCTGTGGAGATAAGCACTGCAAAGCTGCATCTGTAGCTTGACTTTGAATCTCAAAAAACACTTCTTCCATGGAGGAAACAAAACTATTTACAGTAGATTGACTTAATCCAGCTGCTTTTAGTTGTGCAACAGCAGAGGCACACATATCTAGAGTGCTCCTGTTGGACTTTTTCAACAGAGTAGATGTGGCTACCTCGTGTTCATTAACTGTCCGTGACGTTGTAGCTGTCTCCTCTACATTAGTGGTCACTGCCTCTCCAATGCTGCTTA